ATCTACCTCCTACCAATAACTCAAAATTACTACTTATTAATTTCTATGTTCTATCTTGGTTGCTCTTAACTGCAATTAGTCAGCCCTCCGAGCCGTGTTCTTTTGGCCCAGAGCCCAGGGTGCTCTCCTTGCTTCTCTATCCCATGGTGGCTCTTGTATCCCTCCTGTACACTCTCTCCCTCCTGCTCCTTCGCCATGGTACCAAGCCTGGGAAACCTAAACCCTGCCTATCTCTCTTCTCCCCAGCTAGTAGTTGATGGCATCTTTATTTACCAATCAGAATTAACTGGGGGCAGGGCCCTTCTGTGTCTTATGTGTGGACTCTCTCATGAAAACAGTTTGGGTGGACCCAAATTAACATTAGAATACAATCAACATTAGGCTAAACTCACTACAGATAACCAAGCTGTAATCCATAGAAACACAAAGGTTAGGTATAGAGCAAAGGACTTGTTGGGTGGAGGTTGAGGGGATGGCGGATAGATCTTATTAAAGAAGGGAAATAGAATAGATGGTTATAGACGGATGTGAGGGATTGAAACAGGAAGATCAAGAGGGAGACAGAGCATAGAGGGGGATGACTGTTTCCTAGTAAGGGACAAGGAGGGACTGTTTTCCAAACTAATCAAACATTCCTCTTGAAGTGACTTTTAGTCCACCATCTTACCCGGAAGTTGGTAAAATCTTTGCTGATTATAAATGGAGATTTAAATGATAGCCTGTGAAAACAGTCTCTTTTCTTTATAAGGCGAAAAGCAATTTGAGGAATTTGCTGGATTTATTCAAATGTTTTTCAGCCAAATATACTAAACATCCTTTGGCTAGCCAAAGAAAACTGATTTTATGTTTAGAATACACTGTTACAGGAATCTCACCAGAGATGACCACTCAGACACAGTTTATAGTCAATTGAAAGTATTTATTCCAGCTTAGTGTGACCACACTGAGGTATTTGGGGCCTAAATGTAGCCCTAAGCATTTAGAGAAAATGGCTTTTCAAGGAAAAAAACCACATCCTAGTATCTTGTTCTGCAGTTGTAGGGGCAGGTTTTGTACAGAGAAGCAGTTTAACAGAAGCTAAGATAAGCAGTTAGCTGAAGGGAAAGGTTTAAAGAAGCAGAGAGTTTAACAGAAGCTAAGTTAGCTAGGGCATCTTGACCTCGGGTTCCTTAGAATAGAATTTGCTAATTTTCCCTAGGATTCTCCATCAAGGAGATCAAGTTAAATTCTAGTTAAACCTGAAATAGCCTCCCAAGAATACAAGATGGTGGAACCTCTGCACTGCCTTGCCCTGTCACAATATGAGTTTATGCAGACCAAAAGAAAAATACAAAAATCATTAGTAGCAAATAAAACTTTAGAACCAAAAAATTAAAGAACATAATCCTATTAAACTGCACATGGAATACTTATTAACTAAAACCATATGTTGAAGTATAAGTTGCATATCAAACAACCATGATCTACTCAAACTCATTAAAATACAGAGCACATTCATGGGCAACCATGAAATATGACTAGAAATGATAATAGCAAGATAAATAGAAAAACCTCAAATGTTTGACAGTGTACTGCTAAATAATCCATGTGTCAAGGAAGAAATATGAAAATGATTAATATATTGAATTGAGTTATAATGAAAGTATAATACTATAAAATGTGTTGGCATAGATAATGTATTACTCAGTGAAGATATGGACTTAAATTTGTATTTGAAAAGAAAGGTGTATGTAAATCAATGAATAAGTTTTATTTCTTCATTCTGTAAGAAAAGGAAATATCAAATTACAGGTAAAGAATGTAGGGAAAATGATAAATGAGGAAATTCAAATGGAGAAAGGCAAGTCAGCAGAGAAGCACAATGAAGCCCAGTGTTGATTCCTCAAAGTTATTGAGAATTACTAGAGAAACTTAAGAGAAAATATCAATAATCAACATCAGGAATGGAAAACACAGTGCACCAGGAATTTTACAGAAATGAAATGAATCTGACAACTTAGATAAAAATGGAAAATGCCTCAAAACTCACACAAAAGAAACCCAGAAATTAAGATATATCTTGGTAAAGAAAATTTAATCTGTAGATTACAAGATCATTCATACTTGATTTTTTTAAGATCATTCATACTTTAAAAAAAATCAAAACTTTTCTACAAACAAAACACTACATCTAAATTTTTTAAACAAAATAAAATATAAGGTAAAGCAGAAACTATCATAGAAGTTGGACAAAACAAACCAACAGGGAAAAAACAGCCCAAGAGAAGTCACAAGAATCAGAGACCCATTTGTTCACAATCTGGAGTCTCTTGAAAATACTAAGCTGAAAGCTAAAATATATACTCAGGGGACCCGGTGTAGATCTGTGCAGGCCCTGTGCTGGCTGCCTTGGTTGCTGTGAGCTTTGCTTACATGATTTACAGGGTCTTGTTCTCCTGGTGTCCTCCGTATTATCTGTCTCCCCCACTCCCTCTGCCTCCTCCTCTGCAGGGCTCTGAGCTCTGCAGGGAAGAATTTGATAGAGTTATCTCATTTAGAGCTTATGTTCCAAATCTCTCTCTCTCTCTCTCTCTCTCTCTCTCTCTCTCTCTCTCTCTCTCTCTCTCTCTCTCTCTGTGTGTGTGTGTGTGTGTGTGTGTGTGTGTGTGTGTAGTCTTACTGTAGGTCTCTGTATTTGTTCCCATCTGTTGCAAAAAGAAGTCTCCCTGATAGTGGCTCAATAAGGCACCTCTCTATGTGTATAGCAGAATATTATTAAGAGTCGTTTTATTATTATAATTTTTCATGCAAGTAGCATTTTGTTTTATCCTGGTCTCAGGGCTATCTAGACTCTGATGTCAGGTATGAGTTCCACCCCATGGAATGGGCCTTAAGTCAAATCAGTCATTAGTTGGTTACTCCAAGATTTGCACCACCATTGCCCTAGAGGGTTTTGTGGTTGGGTTTCTCTTTTGGCAGCCTTCAGAGTACCTTCCCATATCATAGGCATTAAAACAATGGTTCTCAATTTGTATGTGGCAACCCCCACAGCAGTTGCATATCTGATATCCTGCATAATAGATATTATTACAATTCATAACAGTAGCAAAATAATGGTTGTTAAGTATAGATAAAATAATTTTGTGGTTGGGGGTCATCACAACTTGAGGAACTGTGTTAAAGGGTCATGGTGTTAGGAAGGCTGGGAACCACTGCTCTACAACATAGGAGTGAAGGTTCTACGGAAGCACCTGCTCAATCCTCTTTATGTCAAAAAAATAAATAAATAAAAAATAAAAGCAGAAGCAGAAAGGGAGCCTGCTTGTAGCTCCCCAGTACGGCTCCTTCTTAGCAGGCAGGCTGCAGACGGAGTTTATCCCAGCACCGAACAAAAACAAAATTGAAGGAGATAAAGATATTTTATGCCACGCAGGGAAGCACAAGCCGGTAATCACAACGATTGGGTACTGGAAGAGGAAGGAAGAAAGATCATCCCTTCAAAGTCAGCTACATAGCAATTTTGAGCTTGTCTGAGCTACAGCCTGTTAAAACCACAAAGAAGCAAAGACTAATCCGGTTTTTCCATTTACTACCCTGTCAAAACCACAAAGTGGTTTTTTTTTCCACTTAATATCCTTGTTTTTAATTGAAATACACCTCCTTTTGAACAAAGACAAATCAATTTATCTTTAAAGTAATAGCACAGCTTCCTGTGGAGATAAACAAGGACTGTGTTGCACACTTGTTCATTTCTTGGTTCTCACCATCTAAAGAGTGTCATCTGCGCTCCCTGCAACTGGCTCATTTTGAGTGTCATATGTGTATGACCTTGTGTTTCCTTAAGTTTAAAAAAGCATTTGGATGAAGAAAACAAACCAGGAAGTAGTTCGAACATTCTGACCAAGAGGGCTGGACATGTTATAGGAACACAGAGAAACGGTGCAGACTCCCTTGTCTCAACTTGCCTGCCCCCTTTTCCTTGGCCCTCCTGAAAAAAAAACAAAACATTTTTATGTTTCACCCTGCCGGTGACATTTCTTGTCTATTATGCATATCAGCCACTAGAGGTCGCCACGTGGCTCCATTTCCACGCACTCCAATTTCTAACCTGAGAAACCCCCAGTTCTTTGCACTTCTTTAACCTGGGGGACAGCATCAAGGACTGCAGAAAGAACCACAACTCTGTATTAGCTGATGGTCAGTTCCCGCCCCGCAGCTTAATAAGGGCTGATTTCCAAAGATTTTCGAATCAAAGCTGCTCTCCTGTGTCCTGAGCCCAAGCCGGTGCCCGCCTGGGGTTTGTGTCTGCTGTGGTCCTGCTTCCTGCTTCCCCTTAGTGTGGCACTCCTTCCCCTCGTTTGCTTCACAAAGTGCCTGGGGTTTGCCTGGTTTTGTTTTCTAGCTTTGTTATTTGGGGATTGACTCACGCTCACTTGAGTAACAGAGCATTTTAAAGGAAACCCACTAACTGCTTTTGCAGCCACATGGACACTACAGTTCGGTTCGCATTCCACTTTCCTGGAAGATCTCTCCCGACTCACGTTTCTTTCATTACTGTTTGAGCTGTCCCGAACTTGACAGCTTTGCAGACCTCAGAGTATGCAAACGGTGAGTAAAGTTCTCAATGCATTCAACTGGTACACAAGAAGCCACTTTCTTAACCGATCATAGGGACCTCCACATTACAAACATTCCTATTCTCCAAGTCTAGCACCTGCCCTGAGCTCGGCAGTCTATTTCTGTGTCCAGAGTGGTCTCCGCTGCTACCTTGTAGGGCTCTTCTCACTTACATGAAGTAAATTTAACACGGCAGGCAATTCTTTGAAAGATAAATTTTAATTACACTCTGGTCCTCACAGTTATGCAGACCTCTAGTTATCTTTATTAACAGACGCTGAATAATGTTACATCATTTAATGCTAGCCAATGTGTACCAACGGATAGAGGCCCCGGAAAGGTGGGCCTGAGAGATACCAGCAAGCTGGCAAGGCGGTGGGGTAAGGCTAACAGGCACTCCCAGTATGAATGAGAGCACAGTCGAAGGAACAACATCAGGTGAGTAAATATTTCCAACTTGATATTTTATTGTCTATGCGCTTATTTAAACTATGAATTGCCTCAATCCTGGTTTTCTTACTTAACTGAACCAATGACTGGTGTATTAAATTTCAGTCTGATGGGTGCATTTTGTTAGGGTTCAGCTGGGGACAGGAGTGTCACACAGCAGCCCACCACCTGTGCCTGAATAGCAGCTCCCCAGTCTGAGAAATGCCTTTGATTCTAAGCCTAGAAAACATTAAAAGAGTTGTTTCAAGTATAAGTAAGATCTTTATATTAAGAAACATGTTACTTTGCTTGGGCTATGAAGAGACTTATTTCTAAGCTAAGGTTAGCAAGCGTAGGTTAGGGTCCATTTAGGGCCTTTCTTTTTCAAACCTAGTATAACCAGTTTCTCCTGCTGAGAGGAGAGAAGCAGTGAAACTGGGAGAGGTTCCTCTCTGTGGAAGTGTTACTATTGTTACTAAGAAAACAACACCACCAAACCCTAAGCAAACAAAAACCTTTCCAATTGATTTAGGTGATTTAGGGCTGAATCCAAAGTAGTATTTTATTAAAATAAATTCCATGTATTTTAAAGTAACCTTATTTTTGGCCTCCTTCTGATGATATTTTAAGCAATGTTCTGTCAAACACAGTGAGTGATTCTGTGTTAGGAACACACGCGCCCAGGCGAAGTGTATTTCACCCATAGGCACAGCTGTGACCTGAGTCAGAGTGAGCTGCAGAGAACTGCTGAGCTTTCTGTAGGATGCAGGGGTGAGACCCAGACTCCCTGGCAGAGGGGATGGCGTAAGCATTAAGAACAGGGGTACAAGGAACAGCAGAAGTGAGTTCAATTCTACAGGTCTGGTACACCTGAGGCAAATCGTTGGCCGTATCATCTGTAAAATGCAGGCAATGCTGCAACTGACCCTGTAGTATCCGCATAAGGGCTGAGCAAAGCATTAACACAACGGAATGTACTCGTCCCAGCACCGTATATAAGGTACATCTGTTTATTGTATATTAAGTATAAGAGTTACTGCATATTAAGCATGACTTATCTTCATAAGTACCATTAAAATAGGTGCTCAATAAAATAAGTACCAATAAAATAGGTGCTCAATATGTTAGCCATGACAGAAGAAACAAAGCCGGGCACATGGCTGATTAGTACTCCATGATGTCTCTGTATCATGTGGGGATTGTACCAGATCGCCTCCGTATTTCAATCCACATGGCCAGAGGTGCTATCAGCAGGACGTGTGGATATCGGGTATCTCTGGTGTGCTGATTTCACTCCCTTTCAATACACAGCCACCGATAGAATGTTTGTGTAATGTTTGGGGGCTCCATGATGTCCACACAGTGACTGGCGTAGTTCACGTCCCTACTACCTCTTTATAATCGCTACGTTTATTCCACATCCTCAGAACTTTATTTATTTTTTTTAAGAATACCTATTCCAGCTGGGGCACATGCTCTGATTTCTTAGGAGTTTGTGTTTAGACAGAATCACGTTATAGCTAAAATGAATCCGATATCTCCAATACGGTTATATAGGATTGCTTGGAGGGCTGCAGTGTTTGCATCTGCATGGCCATATCATCATCATCCGATAAGAAGGGTATAATTCCTATGCCTTCTCATCCAATGAATCATTGAAATAAATTATTGGCTGTGGTTAGGATAAGTATAGCAACTAAAAATAATAAAAGACATTTGATGAATTGGTTAATATATATGTCTGAGTGCATATATCATGAAGAAAATTATATAATAGATCATGTTACAAATAAGCCCAGCACTCAGAGGCAGAGGCAAGTGGAACTCTGTGTGTCTGGTCTACCTAGCATGACCTGTCTCAAAGCAAAAAGCTGGCAAGATAGCTTTATGACTCAGAGTCCTTGTTCTCTTACTGAGGACCTGAGTTCTGTTCCCAGCACCCACAGGGCAGATCACAACGGTCTGTAGCTCTAGTCTTGAGGGTTCTGATGCCTTTAGGGACTCCACCGGCATCAGGCACACACCAGGTATACATATACATATGCAGGAAAACACTCACATGCATAAAACAAAAATAAATAAATCTTTTAAAAATAGCTATTCCACTGGAGCAAGACAGCAATTCCCTGGCAGAGGCTAGCATCTCTGGACACACAGCTGGGACTTCTATGTTTACAGGAAGTATCTGTTCAGATCTTTTGCCTGTGTTTAAGGATAGTCCTGTGTTTTTGAGGAGTGTTCTGCAAAGTACCCTTCTGACAGACAAATAGCTGACCATCTTATGCCATTCTGTAGGTGCGAGAAGCACACTTAGAATAACCTTCCTGCTTTTTCTTTACAGGCCATTTTCTTACAACAGCCCTCCGTATATCCTCAACTCAGCACTACCAAGAAGAGCATTCACCATCGTTGTCAGGATCAGGTAGGACCTATGTTTTTGCATTACACATTTTCATAGTGAAGAGTATTTGTTGCCCTTGAGAACGAGCTGGGTTCTGTTTCCAGCACCCACATAGCAGTTCACAGCTGTCTACAACTCTAGTTCTACAGGATCTCATGCCACATCTGGCTCCCACCGGCACCAGGTACATAAAGGGGTTCATATACACGTGCAAGCACTCATACCCATAAAATAAAAGTAAAGAAATGTTTTTTAAAAAATAACATCATAGCTGGGAGTGAGATGACAGTCCCCTGTGGGCAGTTGGGAGGCTCATTTTAACTAACTTCTCTCTTTTCTCTACAGATTCTCTTCATGTGCCTTCCCCCATGATGGCTTCAAGTGGAAGTTACCCAAATCAGCATTCAACATCAACGGCACAATCAGGTAGATTCTGTGGTTTTACATAATTGGTTTGTAGCTGTTAGTATTTCATCTGAATCCCTAGTAAGATGTTAATATAATGTCTCCTGGGATCAATGAACTGACATTTTAAAAAAATTGAACAGACATTGCCATGGTTCCCCCTGAGAATAGGCTCCTGAACTTTCGTCCCTGTGTATTTTTACTAAAAAGAAAGTTTTCTGCTGAGAATGGACTGATACTCATTGTGCTCTAAAGAAACATTTAAAAGGTTTAAAAAATCAAAATGAACAAATACAGCCCCTGCTTTTTAGGAAGCCCATGTCGAGTGATGTGTGCAGTGCGTGGAGGAAGACACACGACACTGGTCACTGTGCTGTGGTCATCAAAGTCAGCTTAGAGGCTCCTAGTGAAGCTGACTCCTGAAGGACACAGCAGAAGGAGCAATGAGTCACAGTGGACACATCAGACAGGGCTTGGTGGCAGCTTCTCTTCTTAGTTTTCCAGTGGGCTTGCCCTTATTGTGAGGTAGGAATTCATCCTCACACCTTCTGTAACTAAAAGAATCAAAAAAGTGTCTGTAAATAAAACCTCAGGCCACACCTCTGCTTGAAGGCTTCTACTGTACCATAATGAGGTGGTGACTGACGCCTAAACCGCGAGTGCCCTTTGCCCTAAGTGTGGCCTAGCTTCCCCCCTGGTTTCCTTGCCCCATGCACACCTCAAAGTTCTGAGAAAGGAGATCTAGCCCTTATCTCCTCCTCAGACGTGTCCAGAGATGCTTTAGAGCAGGCTAAGTTCAGCAGCTGGCCTGAACTTCCTCTAAGGTGTGTAGATTAAAGGCATTGCCAATTGAAGCACTGAACTTGACACAATTCAGGAAAACAATCCACTCGAGTCAGGGAAGAATAATTTAGTGCTTGGTAGTGTGTGGTTTTGCTGTCTTTCTTCCAGTCCCAGTGAAAAGTGAAATCTTCAGTGAGCAGCGCTAGCCTGTCCTTAGCATCACTTTGTCAGTATTTCCATGCAGGTAGCAATCACACATGCTCAGTGCTGTTACCAGCCCCTTGGCACTCTCTATCCACGGCTACAAAGGCAAGCATCCTACTTCACAGAAACTGTCTCCAGAGAGAGCTGCCTTCTATTGGTTTTTGTTGAACAGGGTTATGATGTATGTTTAAACGTTGTGTATTTGTTCCAAGAAAACGACACTTTGTAAGGAGCTTTTACTGAATCCTAACCCAAGCCCCACTCGTTTTTTTCTATAAGTTCTATGCAGTCAGTATTCCATTTGCAAATGAAAACAAAATGGGACTTTGAAGTGTTTGGAAACCTACCTGAAGCCTGTGAGCAGAGACATTGGAATGCAAATCTAGACAGTTTCGATACTGTATCCTACACTTAACCAATGTCCTACCAGCCCTCCTACCCCCTAAACAGTCACTTCATTTTCTTTATCAGCATGAAATGCACCTGAGATAATATTCACCATTTTTCCATCTTAAGAGTTTCCTCGTGCCATAGCGCTGTGTATTACCTCTATGGTCTGGCTTCAGAATATTTCATTATTTCAAAAAGCAATCAGGCTTGTCATCAGTCACTTCCCCCTCCCATGCCCACAGCACCACAGAAACTACTAATTTTCTTTCTGATATGAAGAAAACGTACTTTACCCTTTGCAGTGTACATATCCAAGTTACTGAAAATATGGCTTTTCCTTCTGGACTCTAAAGCCTATGCCACTGATCTTTAAAGCCCGTCCCCCAGGGCAACAGCACTCTGAACTCTGCAGTTTTTCTTCTCCTTTCTGCTTTTGTTTTGTTTGTTCGTTTGTTTGTTTTTGTCTTAAGTTTTAAACTCAAGAGGTTTGAATCTTCAGACTGCATTCTTGAGCACTGTTTTGACTGTTTGAATCTCTTAACTCCATGGACATTTCAGGGTCCGTTTTCTGATTCTGTTAAAACACTGATGGCACATGCTCATTTAATATAGTCAGCATTGATACAATGTATACACTATTCATAAACTCATTATACAGCGATGAAAGACGCAGAGGAAACTGGTCACAGCGCCCTTGGCTGGAGTTATTTGCATTTAGGTGGTCCCACCTCAGCCAATGAGCTCAAGGAATATGCTGTGACGGTTTTCTTTCTCACATCCAACCGTATCCCAAGCTTGGGTCCTCTTTCCTCTTATTCTGTGAATGTGTTCCGCTTTCTGTTTTCCATTAGCTGAAGGCTTTAGTGAAGGTTGAGTGTCTGCCCTGTGAGTACAGCTCTTAAGCTGCCTCTAAACACATAAGACAACCTGGTTAATATTTTACTCTTTTGTAACATGGATTATATTTTATAATCTAAGAGCAACTCTTAGATGGGCCAGTCACATCACAATTATATTCAATACTCAACAAAAGTTAAATTAAAAATGCAAAACAAGACGAATACAGCAATCTATCTGAAGTCACCAGGTCAGTGGATGGTGATGCTGAGATTTGTAGCTTACTAGAAAAAGAAATGTTGTACAAATTCACCCTCGCCTTCCTCCCTGCACCACCTTATGGGTGCAGATCTCAAAATCTTTCTGTAAGGCAGTGAAACAGTGTTCCTACTATGCAAGGAAACAAGAGCAGACATGATGACAAAGTATATGCTCATTTATTTAGGAGCAAATTAGAAATAAATGTAGTCATTCATGATTGCAAGTCAGATGGACTACATATTTTTTTCTGAACCGGTCACAATTGAGGAAACCTATTAAAATTTCCGACGGCATATATGTCAGGTTTTGCCTGTTGTTTCCAGCCCATGCTCGAGGTTTTAGAGCTACTATGCCCCATATTTATGTAGCATCATTCCAGAATGTGTCTTTTATGAAGATAACTCTCCTCATCCTTTTCAAGTACAGGTGCTTGTTCTCAAGCTCAACACCCTGAGTTCAATCCCCAGAATCCACATAGTGTTTTTTGGACACCACACACACTGTGGTACAGTGCATGCCCCCCATATACACATGTATAAATAAACAAACAAACAAACAAATAAATATAAAATACGTTGGAAGTATAGCGTCTTCACGTTTGTTTGCTCTCACCCTCTCTTACATACGGAAAGCCATGTAGCCAGTTTACACTGTTACATTGATCATCTTTATGCCTTAATGGACCATATATGAGACAGATAAAGTTGCATGTGAACGAAATGGCCAGTGGCTTATATGTGCACTGAAGTGCCTTCAGGTGTCTCATGAGCTATAGATGCCCTCAGTCCTGTGGCAGTAAAGTATTCATACAGGAGACAGCTAGGCAGAGCCATCTCAAAACATAGCGGGAACTTCACGGCTCATTAGTGCAGGCATGTCATATCTTGATTGCATGTCGGAACTGTCTCAGAGGATCTAAGCACCCTGATAATTGAGTTCTATGGCCAAAGAGGCTAATTAGAGAAATACGGGATACAGAGAATGCATGGCCTGTGGGTTTTGAACAACCTACAATTTAAAAGTGACCTTTATATTTTTAAGTGCTTAAGACAACAAAAGAACATTCGACAGCACATGAATGTTCTGTGAGCTCAGCCTATTCTTTCCACCTGTCCTGACCTGAGCACAGCCATATCCTTTCCTTACAGTTTGTTTCCAACCTGTCTGCCTGCTTGTGCACAAGAACCATCTAAATTGGCAGGTCTTCACTAAAGGCAGTGTTAGTCAGTGATAAGAACTCTGTAAGGAGGGGTGGCTTGTCAGTAAGGATTGCTTATCCAGAACATTCTTGGCTACAGGATGGGTTCCCTCACGCAACTCACTGGGCATCCTCCTGCATGCTGTTGATAATGATTTTCATCCACTGAGACTGTAAGTTCACACTGTGTGGTGCCTGCCTATCCCTGTAGCCTATCCCTCCATTTCTCCATCCCTTTCCTCTCATGAACTATGAAGGAACTATGTGGACACCTATAGTGTCCACAACTCGTAATGATGTCTCAAATTCTAGAGCATCTGTGATGTTATTGATTCTGCACCTCAACCTCCATGTAGTAAGTCTAGTGAAATACAAAATCAAATTTTTCCCTGTGAGGTATCACTAGAAATATGCCCATTTCAGAGCTAAGGAAACTAAACCACATTCTTGCCGTCTGACCCTGTGCCTCTGCTGTGTAGACATTCTGAAGCTGGGGCCAACAGGTTTTGGAGGAAATTGGCTTCTGCTGAGTTCTTTCTGATGCACCTAGTCACTCCATGATGATGGAGTCACTCCATCTCTCAACTTCTGTTTTACACAGATATTAATGTCACACCCCGTCCCGTGGCCCCTGCTGAAGTGACTGTTATGTCTGGAGACCTCCACATCTCACCGTCTGGTCCAGGTTTGTTATACTGTTATTACTTGCACTAGCATCTGTGTTGGGATGCAGATGGGATGACTAGTGACTGTAGGGAAACTGACCAACACTGAGAAATGCAAGCTAAGTAAGCAGGTTCCTTCTGTGCAGGGTCTTCTGGCTTGGAATAGTACACAGAAATAACACTGTGAATCAAAGAAATTACTGTGAATCAAAACCAAAACAAAACAAATAACCTAGGGACATGCCCAAATGATAAATATGACCATAAAATGGGGAGTAGGGTGAAAAGTAAAGAGATCCATGAATGAACCAAAAGGCAGTAAAGAGTCTGGAGAAAAACCACTCCAGCTCAGCTGAGCAGACCCCATCCCTACAGACATGGATGGATTGCCTTGAGGGACCTCCGTGCCATTAATATTAAAAGGAAGCCAGTCATGCTGCCCCTCAGCGTTTCTCCACAGATTAAATAGAAGTAGGTAAGAGGGCTGGTCCACTGCCAGACAGATCCCAGTGCCTGCAACATGATAGCCCGTAAGCCAAATTGGGTGTTGAGATAAGGGGTGGGCCTGTGGTATGTTCGCTTGTGCTATCTCTCTCCTTCCCTTCCCTCCTTCCCCCTCATCTAGTTTTCTAGAAGAAAGAACACAATTTCACAAAACCGCATTCAAAGTAAGAAGATTGGTGGTCTTCTGTGGTTGGAGTTTAGGGAAGGCATTACACATTTACAGTAGAGCTCGAGAAAGACTCAGCATGACTTCAGGATCCTAATTGAGTTGGGATAATTGAGAAGAGTCTCCTGAGATGAATGGAAGCAAAGGCTTTCAAAAACCAAGAGAGAAAAATTAGGCCAAATGTGTAGAACCAATTATCGAACTCATGGCTCTGATTAACAGTCTCAACCTCAGCACGAAGCCAACATAATAATGCCAACTGGGACGCAGTTAGATCCTATGTGGACCCACAGTGCTACATGACATGTACTCTATAAATGACAGCTGCATAGCGGACAGGGCACTGTTCATTTTCATGTGTTAGTTAACAGAGTCTAACAACAACTCAGAGACATAAATTATAATTCTTATGTTCTCTGAAAATAAAAAATAAAAAAAGAAAACTGTAGAGCACAGAGAAATTGGGTAATGTGCTTAAGAACTCACAGGGTAGGCATCCCCTGATTGAATCCAAGGCCTATATGCTCAGCACAAAAGAATGAGTATACAAGCTTGGATGAGCCTTTATTTTTTGGATATATTTTACCACCTTCCAGAATTCTCAGTCCTGGAGAGTGACAAAATGCATCCAATTTCTTGGCTGTGTGATACCATGTCTCATGAAACAATTATTCCAGGGGAGAGTCTAGACGGTGAGAGGCGTGGAGATATCACATCTGCAACTACAAATACAAAGCAGAGTGAGCCATTAGGACATGACGCAAGGCTTTGACTACCAAAGCCTGTCGCCAGCACTGAGCTCCCTCCAGCTTGGCTGGCCCTCCCTGTATCCTCATCAAAGAGTTCCACCCCCAAGAAGCAAGTATTCAAACACTCATCCAAACCGACACATGAAGGGCTGTTCACGTCCCAAAAAATGGTCAAGAAAAAGAAATCCTTTTGGCACTGGACATGTTGGCGTGTTCTTCCCTGGAGAAGGCCATTCCCCGCCCCCCCTTCCCAGCAGTCCTCAATTGCCTATAATTCTCTGAAAACAAACATACAGGTAGCATCATATGGACTGAACAAGTTATATTTAGGAATATGTATGTATGCACATATACATATGTGCATACAAGAACAGTATTTTTAAAAACAAGGCCATAAATTTGAAGGGAAGTAGGGAGGGGTCCATGGGAAATTTGAGAGGAAATGGAAGGGAGAAACATAATTAAATTACAATCTCAAAAAGCAAAGACAAAATCCCTCTACTTCCAAATGGTTTTTGTTTTATTTTGTTTTGTTTTGCTTTGCTTTGTTGTAAAGTCATACCCTACTTATTCTGACTTACTTTGAAAACTTGATTTTTCAGGAATGAGGTTACCAATTGAACACTTTGTTTCTGCACCAGGTATGTTGGTATGTGTTAATGAAATGTCAACCATTCTGTTTTTAAGTTGTAGGGTTTTAGTTTCAAATATGTAATAATTGACAAAGGTTCATGTTAAAAAGAGGATAGATGTCATTAACATTAGCAACAAAAGCAAACATTCCTGATTTTGAAGGGAAAACTGGTTTTTTTAACCTTGTACGTAGGAATGCATAATTTGATCTTTTTTCTAAGTTATATTTTTGTAATTTTTAAAATCAACTATAGACATTTGAGAAGAGTCTCTTCATTTATTAAAAACAAACAAGCAGGCAAACAAATAAACAAAAAATGGAGTCTTCCTTTTTTCTACTGATTAGTTGGCATAATATCAGAACTACAGAGAGACCTTGCCTGTCTCTGCCCTGACTCGCCTTCAGCCATGTCTTTAAACCCTCCGTTATAGCTAGCGTCGTGGCTGCTGGCCTAGACGCTGCTGTTTCATTACCCTGCAACTTTCAACTCGGCCATACTACTTGGCTAGTGTTCCCATTTCATGCAGGAGTAAAGATGGATTGTAGAACTTCACCACAATCGCACAAGAAACATCTGATTGGTGGGAAAGGCTGCATAACACAAGTGGGTAGGGACACTACACCTTTAAAAGCTACTTTTGCTTTTAAAGTCAGTAACCTGTATTACAGACATAAATTTGCCAGATGAATGTGCCATTTTCTTTGCGTGTTTAGCCCTCAGCCTGTTTACTTCGTTGATGCACACTCTAAAAACTCTGTAAAAATGTGAAGTCTCTCCAACTTACTTATTCCAAACCTCTTTATTCCCAATATCCCAAACTTCGCAAAAGTATTCATCATTATATGAGCGAGTGTACAGAAAATGTGCCGTAACACATCAAAAGCTTAGAAGACGGTGCTTTCAAGTGTTGCTGTGTAGCTCAGCATCATTAGACTTGATTTACTCGTTTGTAAGCTGTTTGCATGACTTCTCTCCCAAGCCTGTGATTCTACGATCCATTTCATACCCGTTGATACATTAAAACAGTGTTTTCTCTAGTAATGTTCAAACTATCTAAGAGTTTGTGGGGTTTCCCCACCAATGTTGAATACCCACGACCTCTTGTCTGTGATGACGCCTGCAAAGAACACTGGACTCTGGCATCAGAACTCTGAGGTCCTGGTCAGATGTTAACTCACCATGTGACTCAGAAACAGAAAATTCCAGATTCACACAAGGTTAATGTCAAAATCCAACATTTTTGAAGATTAAACGTGCACAAAATTATGAAGTATTAATGGATTTTCTATAAACTTTGGTTTTTCAAACGACTCAGTTCATTTGTGTTTTCTTTGCTTTGTGTCTCCCACAGTGATGATACTCATTGTGTTGGGAGTGATGGCTGGGATCGTCGGAACTATTCTTCTCATCTCTTACATCATCTGCCGAGTGACAAAGGTAAGAGTTTAGTGTTCCATTTCAAGTACCAGTGTGGACAGGTTTGAGTGGCATATTCTTCTTCGTATAATTGAACACAAAGAGAAAGAGAATCTGATAAACTCCACCCTTTTAAACTGAACACATAAAGACACAGAATTCTCCACTGAACTCTTTTTGCATTTGCCAAATTTAAGGTGACTCTTGCATATATATTTATTCTCCATCCCTCCAGTGTAAAGTTCCACAACATTCTTGCCTATTAGAGTTTAGCATATTTTGATGACTAGAGATGAGCCAGTTGGATTTCTGCTTTAATCTATGTATAAAATATTTAAGACAATATGTCATACCTAGATACTTTTAAAACTTTTATTTGTTTTCTTTTTAAGATTTGTATTTTAATTGTGTGTATGTGCACTTGTGTGTGCGTGAGTTTGTGTGTATGTTTGCATGAATTTATATGTGTGTTTGCATAAGTTTGTGTGTGCTTGCATGAGTTATGTATGGGTTTGCATGAGTTTGTGCATGTGTTTCATGAGAGTGTGTGTGTTTGCATGAGTGTGTGTGTGTGTGTGTACACGTGTGCATGAGTTTATGTGTACCATGTTTATGCAGTTGTCCCCAGAGACCAGAAGTCATCAGATCCCCTGGAACTGGTTGTAAGCAGCCCAGTACGGGTGCTGGGAACTGAACCTTGGTCCTTTGCAAGAGCAGTAACTGATCTGAACCACAGACCAGTCTCTCAAGCCACACCTCTTTTTGTTTCTATTCCCACTGTTTCTGAAATAAATTATTAAAAATTCATCCATGATTTTTTACCATGTGAGTTTTTAATCGTTAAAGCTATTTTAAAATACATATTACAGGACTATACTTTCAGGGGTTATTTCTATAATTTTCGAAATACATACTACGCAGCTTTCTAAAGCACATGAACATCTACCCAAGACATTTAAGACCCAAAACTTATGTATGCATTCTTGATGGTGTCACTGGATCTGTAATGCTAGGTCCTATATCCTGAGCACCAAGTCACATAAGGTTAACAGCTGGGCACATAGCATCTTCTATTTTTATTCTCTCTCTCTGATTGCTCCACCATAACCATTGTCTACCTGTATTATTTTATACAGTTAGTGTGGCGGCCACACTCCAGTAGCAGGGCTTTCATAGTAAAAATGACAGGAATTCTACAGTTTCTTAGCTTGCGTTTTTATGTACTTCCTACCAGCAATTCCCACAATCAGCTAATTATGTCACTGATTCTTATTATTTAATATAAATGTGTCTTCCTTAGTAATACTTTGTCATTCAAGGTTACTCATTTCATTATCTATTAATAATTAAGTTGTATATTAATTTATGGGTGCTTACCTGTGGTATGAGATATCCTGGGTATGAGATGAGTCTTTTGTCTGAAGTCTATACATTGTAGAAAAGTCACTTTCTGAGAAGACATGTAAAAATTAAATTCTTTCTTAGCTGATATTCAAACCCTGAAATTTCCAGTTGGAAAAACTCATAGAATAGGCTCTCTTTGTATACAAAAGAATTTGGATCTGGTCAACATGACTCAGGAATTATACTTAATTTTTAATTTTTATTTCCATTTTTAGTATTTGTTAGAGCAGAGAATATGGAAAAGTCAATCTATGGGATAATATGACCCCTGTTGATCTAAATACTATTTAGAAACGCAGATATAAATTTAAATCAATGAGCTGGACATCGTGGTGCATGCCTTTAATCCCAACACTTGAGAGGCAAAGGCAGATGAATCTCTATAAATTTGAAGCCAGACTGGTCTACAGAGAAGGTTCTAAAATAGTCTAGGCTACTTTGTGGCAACAAATACAAAACATATTTAAATCAGTGTTCATATGTATCTATGAAGCAGGGACTTCCCAATATAATTAAACTACACAACGTTCAACCGAAACTAAAGGACTTTAGAAAAAATGTTTTATTTGAGACATTGTTATTTTCAGGGTATCTTTAACTTAAAAAGTGGTGGTGATAGTTTTTTGTCTTTTATTTCTAGAAAAGTTCAGTTGACATACAGCCTCCTGAGGGTGGTGACAACGGTGTGCCTTTGAGTTCTATTGAGCAGGTTGGTGTTGATGTCTGTATTGTCTTTTGCATGTGGGAAACAGAAATGGATAAGTAGTGTCTTTTGGAATCATGGGGTAGAAAAGTACCTGTGCTCACCAAAGCTACTTTTATAAGCCTGATTTTACTTTTGTTTAATGTGAGAATTTCTTGTAGCTGAAAGAGAGTCTCTCCTGGTTACTTATTAGTTCCCAACCTGCAAAGTGACACACGTAGGAGACCCAACAGCAGTTAGAGTTTGATGCTCCAGCGGTGGAGACAACCAGCTTCCAAACTTACACCCCACCCCTTAGCTTTAAAACCTTGTGAAAGTTGCCCTTCTTTCCCCAGCACATAGGAGGCTGTGGATTGGAGGAAGGAAGATTTTGGGCTGGAGGGTAGATAGCCTGGGCTATGTAGTGGGAGCCTACAAGGTGTATACATGCCTGTTAGATGTTATCAGTGAGCTTCATTAGTGTTCATTCCCAAGTGAGCTCCTTGCACCCTGCAGCAAATCTGTGCACCCTGCAGCAAGTCTGGGCTCCTGCTCCTACTTCCTTATGCAGGTGCCAAGTTGGTACACACAGGGAAGATTGCAGGGACATTTGTTAATCTAGAAGGATATTGTCCCAGGGTCATTGTCTGTTTAAAGAGAATTTATTACCAACCTTAAAGGTGGGGAATAAATCAGGTATAGTGTCACACACCTTTAATCCCAGTACAATGACAGGTGAATCTTTGCAAGCTTAAGGCTAGGCTAGTCTGGTGAATTCCAGGACAGCCAGTCTGTGTAGAAAGATCCTATCATAAAGGAAAAAAGAAAAGTGGGAGATTTTTCATCTTAAAAAGAAAGTGACAGGCCCAGTAATGGTGGCACATTGCCTTTAATTCCAGTACTTAGAAGGCAGAGGCAGGAACTGTCTGTGAATGCAAGGCCAGCCTGGTCTTAAGAATGAGTCCAAGGACAGTCAGGGCTACACAGAGAAACCCTGTCTGGAAAAACCAAAAAGAAGAAAAACGGAAGGAAGGAAGGAAGGGAGGGAGGGAGGGAGGGAGGGAGGGAGGGAGGGAGGGAGGGAGG